GATTTATAAGTTTATTTTTTGGGAGGGAAATTATCCCTGCGTTGCTTTAACTTGTTCATCGCCTCTAGTTTCTACGTCCCGCGCTGTTGGGCATTGTGTTTCTTTTTTGCAACGTTTTTCAGATCGTTAAAGTGGGATCAAGTACCCTGCTATCAGAGCTTTCTTTCCGGTATGGTTTTTACCTTGTACGAGTCGTTCGCATGACAGACGTTCACGTCGCTTGGCTTGTTTACGTTCGCACGTATTGCGTGCCTATTGTAACTTTGAACTTCGATCTGGGCGACGCCCAAATAAAGGGGATAACGATATCACTACTGATTTGTATTTAACCAGAAATTAAATTTGTAATTTAGCGTTAGTGTGCCTTCCCATGGTTCCGTCCCTAGGTGGCTTGAGACAGTAAATGCATACCCAAAGTGAACTGTGGCAACAACGACAATATGTCGTTTTCATGTCGGGCAACTTTGGAGCGAGCCGAACTTTTTCTACACATGAGTGACTGACACATTTGCATATCGCAAGTCGTCGTAATAAATCGTGAAATAATCTTTTGGTATCCACGAGTTTAAAATGAGTCTGGGTTTTATTGCGCTGCCTGTAGAAAAGCGTTGGTTTCCCGGGAGCATCATGTAAAGATCTGAGATTGGCCAAAGTTAATACGATTCCCAGATTCTTCATCGTCCAATATCCTATTGTTTTCTTGTTTTATTTTGCTAAAAGGAGCAATCACCCTGATCCAAGCTAAGACAGAAAGGTACGATATTGTTCGCTTCTCTAGGGTGATAACTAATTCTTTGGCCTCGGAGCAAAACTGTAGGTGAACTTTGAACTGGGCCAAGATTTTTTTTTCTGGTATCAACAGAGTCTGTACTGGTCTGCCGACTGTTTGACTGTACATCCGCTACCTTGAATAAGATAAGTGTAGGAGAAATGTGTAGAGGTGTTTATCTGCCAGAGGGCTTATTTGATGATATTTCGCTTCCGTTGAACGTGAAAGGATTGTGCCTTGTTGTGGGTAGTGTTATCAGTGCCGCGAAACTGTATGTTGTTGACAGGCAGAACTCAGATATGTGGTCGCGTGGTTGAGCTGTTGCAAAAACCAATGCTGGATTCAGGAAAATTGGATCTACAATTGTAGGTTTAGCTCTAGCGGGCACTTGGCTTTGAACCATAGGCCCGGTTTTTGCAGATCAGAAAGTATTAATTTATTTTTCAATGTTTGTTGTCCATTCCATGCGAAATCCTGTCATTTATCGGCTTGAGAAAATAGTAGTGTTTTCCTAGCTAGTTAAGTTGTTACGAGATCCTTAACCAGGCACGTTTTGACTGCATTTCACTCAACTTAAAGATTTCTAGACTGAAATTACACCGGTTTGAAACTTCACGGAGTCAGATTACTGAGTAAATGTTCTAAAATTTGCGTCATTTGAAATTTGCAGCCAGTGAAATGCTACTAGGGACCATTAACTTACTGCCTTGCGTTAGATAAAGGCTCTTCATCGGCCTTAGAATGATTTTCTTTTATTGTTTTAAATTGCTAAGTAATAAAATGAAATGATTTTTTTGCTAACCCGGTTTTCATTCTATTATTATTATTATTATTATTATTATTATTATTATTATTATTATTATTCGTAGATTTAAAAAAATAGGCTATTTACAGATTCAAGAATATGAAATATTAAAATATATACCCTATGTACATTCTTCTTGCGTACGAAAGAGAATTGTCGTAAAATGACTATCTAAAGACTACTAATAACAATTATAAAAATTATTATTATTTTGCTTGCTTCATCTATCAATTACAGTTCATGAGTACATTCATTGTAATGAATTAGTGTGGTCTTTTCTTTTTATCATACGAGACGGTATGGTCGCAACAAAGTGAAAAATCTCATCTGAAATCTAGAACAATTGTAATATTTATTTATTTATTTGGTTATCTTTGGTCATCAGATCCCTATTCTAAGGATGACAAATGCCTTTGGGATCCGAAGAAAGTCAGTGGGAAGGAATGTAAGTCATTTGACAAGAATACAGCCTCCAGACTTGACTTGTAACGCAAAACATCTAAAAATTGGTTATTTATTACTGGATTAGCATAATTTAGTTGTAGTGAGCCAAAAGATAGATTTTGCATTAAGTGGAAAAAAATGTTAAACAGACAGTGATATACTACTACGATCTTATTTGCATACTTTTTAAAGAAATTGAGTGGAATCAAAACTGAGGAACATCAAACACACACCAGCAATAACATTACTTCCATTAATTTTCATTTTCTCCATTGTATAGTATAAAGTCACTTTATTATACAGCAAATGTGTTATTGTTTTAAGCATATTTTGTACTTTCACTTAGGGGGTTGTCAGAATGTCAGAAATGTCAGGAACCTTATAAGGGCACCATCTAGTAACGATATACTTTCAAACTGAAAGAGTCCAACATAGCTGTTTTCTTTTTGTGTTTTCAATTAATTGCTTGTGTGGCTTCTGTTTGCAAGCATGACCGTACTATTAAAGCGGTCATTACTATCTGATCTTATTGTTATTTTAGTGCAGCATTATCTGAACTCAATATGCCAAATTCCAGGCATCGAAGGGATCAGGAGAGATATTCTAAGAGATGATGAACAGGTAAATTATGCGTAAGAAAATGTTTGGAAGACATTTTGTTTGTTTGTTCGGAAAATTTGTGTTGCCTCTGTTAGGCCTTAAGATGCGTGTAGTTGGTAGTAAACAGGAGAAATCAGAATTGCCAGTAATTACCATACATAAGTTGTATGGTATAAACTAAACCTGAAATAACATAGCATACAGCATAGCATGACAAATATCTAGCTTTGATCAAAACTCAACATTTTTGCATGAATTTTCTGAAAGTTGTTAGTTGCTCTGTCGGTACATGTATTCAGAAGTTGAGTAACCGGCGTGGCCCCTTTATTTGTTTGTCTGTTTTTTATCACATTCTGTTAAGACGTTCATGTATGGAGTGGGATAAATCATGTAGCGTGCAGAGCCCCTCGTACTCACGAGCCACTTCCACCCCCAAACAATATCAGTTTTTATACAAGGAAGCCGGGAAAAAGTATTTCCAAAAAAAGATAATCACCCCGGCCCTTTCCATGCACAGTAAGGCTTTTGTACTTCTTTACAAATTTAATACAACCTGAACGATGCTTGGCAGTCTGGCAGAGGTGGTTTTTTTTTGCCATCTCAGGGCCTTAAACCATCGCTTTTCATGAACCTGCTCTAGACTTAGCTTTCAAACTGCTGTAAGAGCTACCTCGTCGAGTTTCCTCTTTTGTACCTAGCGTTCTTTAAAACTATTTTAGCTGCTTTTTTCAGGACTGTCGGTCTTCCCCTTTGTTTCTTGTCTTCAAAACCTTCATTTCTCAATGACCATTTTATCACCCTAAGTTAACACATGCAAGAAACATTTTAAACTCCCTTTAATAGTTTCCTTTTTTGAAGATTTCTCTAATCTCCTGTTTGAATGATTTAGGCATTGTACCTGTTGTTGCAATGTAACTACACGGTGGAAGATGCTGTAGGAAAGAAGAAAAGTCAAACCAATCCACAAGCAGGTAACTTTTGTCGTTTGCCACGTATTATTACCCTTCTCTTGCCAGTCAATGCACTACTTCTTTTTCCCAAACATCCATTCCAACAGTTATTTCGCTTTGTCTTGTCTTGAAGTATCATAAGTTAATTTAGTTACCTATGGCCAAAGGTCTTTCTCTTTTGCAGCACCTCTTGGTGGAACTCACTTCCAGAGTATATTCGGGGAAGTGCCTCATTATCGGATTTTAAAACCAACATTAAGACTTACCTTTTCAAACATGCTTATACGGGGACGAGGTTTTTTTTAGCCAATGTAATACATAGAATTTCTGACCATTCATCTTCTAGAGTTTATCCGGTTTTAATTTTTAGAATTTTAGGGATTTAGCTCTCAGTGCAGCTTAGAATTTTTAAGTAGGATTTTTATCGTAACTTTAATGCAGTTCGTAGGGTATTCCTTTTATTATCATTCGATGTAAGTTTTTAATTCATTATTTTTCTTTCTTATGATTTCTGTAAAGTGCTATTGAGCTTTTGGAAATGACGCTATATAAATAAGGTTTATTATTATTATTTTGTATATCGCTCTGTTTTCATTACTGGGTACGGGATCAGCAATGGATGTAAGTTTGGCTCAGTGGGTAGTCATTAAGTTTTGAAGCAGCCATAGCAAAAGAAGGTTCACTCGCATTGTCTCACGTTTTTTGGCTTCTACTTGGATCACCCGCAACATCAAGCGAGCTCAGCCGTAACAGGCTTACAAGAACAGTACAGCTGTAAATGCAGCAGTGACTATCCTGAAAAACCTGAGCGGCTGTTTGATAATACATGTCATAAAAGGAAAGGTAAACAATAATTGTTAGAAAAAAAAGTTCATACGGAAATCTTGACATGTTGGTTAGGTGTTTGGATCGCGTTTTTCAGCACGACTAATTTAACTGATTTCTATGATTTTTTGTATCCTTCATAAAGAGTGCTGAATCTTTGCACCTCAGAGCTCTCTAGTTTTATATCTGCAAGTTTGAAGTCAATCTCGCTCAACAATGCTGGTCAAATTTAACCTTAAGATAATGCGCTACGCAATTGACAGCACTGATTTGTATTTGCTGAAGTTAGGGAAAAATCTGTCGTATGATTTCGAAATTGTTTACATTTTTCGTAAAAATGCGGTTTTAAATATATGCCGATATCTCAAACGTTTTTATAGCTACCAGAAAAACAAAACATTTTCTTAAAGATCCACCATTCTTTATTAAGGATGCCAAAAATCATAGAAATCGGTTAAATTGTTCTTCCTGAAAAACACGATTCAAAAACATAACCAACACGCAAATAAATAGGGCCGGGCCACCTTAATGCAGCCAACTGAATGATTTTGTTGTAGAGATGGCTCTGTGGTCTGAAGATGAATGCAGGGACTTTGAGAGTGGTAAGTTCTCAAAAGATAGGTCAACACAATACAATAAAGAATCTTTATTTATCCACGGTAAAATTCATTCGGGTACAAACAGGGATGAATCTATTTACACCTAGTTACAAGGTAGTTACAAGTCAACATCTAAATCGTAATTACATTTTTCAAGCAAATATATAGGTTTAGCCAGGGCTAAAAGCGAAGCTCTCGATAATATGTATAGTTTGTTCAGTTTGTTCAAACAAACTGTAATGCTAAGCGGCGAAGGCAAGCAAGGCCGGACAACGGTGAAAAACAACAATAGGTCTAATAAGCAAAAAAGCAACTTTGAACGTGCAGCACACTTTTTTTGTACATTTCTTTGGCGTGGTTTTGCACGACTGCAACGTAAAACTTTCAGAAACTTCTTAGTTACACGTTTCATGGAGGAAATGTCGTACGTGTTCTGGTTCACTTTTTTTTCACTGACGCTCATTTTCGCCTTGCGTTGGTGGCCGCTAGCCTTTCTCATTTTGTCACCGCCGCTACAAAATTTTCATGTTGTTCTTCCAACTAAAAAATGTCTCCTTTGTTTTGTAATCTCTCGCACTAGATCTCTGTCGCCCTTGTTCTCGTTGAGCCTCGCTGGCCTGCCGCCCACTTTCTCTTTTTTTCTGTCTTTCTCTTGCTCTATATTCCAAATTTGTGGACATGCCATTTTTTATCTAGGCTTAATAGTTTAGACAACACGGATACAGAAACAATTTACGCTCTCCGATTTCTTCTTTATTAACTCTTTAGTTGTCTCTGCTTCCTGCCAAAATAACCTCGAGTTGCATTTGGGTTGCCATACCTGTTGATTGAGTTATTTTAAATTGGTATACCTGTGATGCGGACGGACGGTCGCTCGGCCGGTGTACGGTGACGTGACTACCAAATTTTCTCGGATGTGAAAATTACTTCCTTTTTGTTAACCACGGTGGTCCGCTGGCGCGCTTCGCGCGCGAGAGCTCCGTTTAAACCCTGTTTTCATGAATCTCGTGATTCTAGTTGTTCATGTGGTAATCGTTTAAACGTTTCGTGAATATATTCAGAGATTCTGATTGCCTTACGTTTTGAGGAAGACTATTCCAGAGAACAGAACCACTGTTCTTAGAATTTCGAAAAGTATAAGGAGTTGTGTCAGATCGACTAGTTAATTTGGAACTTAAATACTCGGTAGCAAAACCATTAAGGGATTTAAAAACCATGTCATGCTGGGTACTAAGATTTTTCCAGTTTAGGCTACAGCTGTATCCATCCGTTGTGATGTGCCGGAATCATTCGAGAAGGTCAGAACCTGAGGTGCACGATTTTGTAGCTTTTGACGTTTATCCGATAGTTTTTTGCCACAGGTTCCACAGACATCATTCCAATAATCGAAATTCGGTTAAATGAAGCCTTTGTCAATAAGATGTAATGTTGCTGGGGGACAAATAGTCCGGCCTTGATAGCCAGGGCACTTTTTTTAGGAAACTTATCAATAAGGCGGGCTCATGTAAGATTTGTAACAATAAGTATCCCTAGAGATTTATTCTTTGTAGCCTGATTTATGGCTGAGCCATTTACAGGTAGAGTGGGAGATGCAGTTACGGTGTTAAGCTTCTTTCTGGAACCAATTGGCAAGAACTCGGTCATGTTTTGGAAAAGGTTGTTTGCAATAAGCCATTTGCTATTATTTTGCAAATCTGCATTTAGACAAGACTGAGCACAGGCGGCCCAAACTCACGTTGCGAGAAAAGGTTGTAATGTAATTTTCATAACATAGGTGACGCGCCGGTGTCGCGTTACAGGCAACCGTTGAAAATATAAGAGACTTTGTATGCGAAATATATTACTGAGATCTGCGAACGCTAAATAACACTAAACCTTACTTTTTCTTGAATGAAATGAATAAAAAAGTCTTACCTGCAATCTATTCCACTGCGTTTTGGTGTCTGTTTGTCGTTTTACAGTAAAACGACTTTTTTATTCATTTTTATTCATTTCATTCAAGAAAAAGTAAGGTTTAGCGTTATTTAGCGTTCGCAGATCTCAGTAATATATTTCGCATACAAAGTCTCTTATATTTTCACCCGGGTATTTTCAACGGTCGCCTGTAACGCGACACCGGCGCGTCACCTATGTTATGTAAATCACATTACAACCTTTTCTCTCAACGTGAGTTTGGGCCGCCTGTGGACTGAGTGACCTCCATATCGTTGTCAGCGTAGGTAAGGTGCGTATCATCAGCATACTTTGATTCTAGGGTAAGAGTGAAATAAGCAATTTGAGAGAGTTAGTATTTGAAAGTGAGCCATAGATAGAGCATTTTTGCGTCCTTTTTTCTAAGTATGACTGAAACAAATTGAAAGTATTTCCCATAATTTCATAGGCATTTAATTTGAGTAATAAGATGGAGGGGTCTGCTGTATCAAAGGCTTTTTTGAAATCGATAAAAACTATCGCGTCAACGTTACCGCGATCAATTTCAAAAGCCTAGCTATCGGTAGCTTCTAATAGAGTAGGAATTTTTCAAGCTGAGGTTTTTTACTTGAATAGCGGGCGACAACTAAAGCGGAAATCTTCACTTCTTCTTTCACAGAGCCACAGCGACTTCCACAGGTTTGGTAAAGTATCGTACCGCACAACTCGCACGTCTTCGGCACAATAATCAGCAACTTTCACCTACATTAACACACCTTCCTGACTTATCGCCTTTCTAAATCATCTCATTGACAAAGCATAATTATTGATTATTGATTATTTCGTCTTTAAAAACGTCGAAAACAGCCCATTCTGTCAGTTCTATGCCGACTGCCGCCATTTTGGAAAAATGATTCGCAATAGAGTTTGCAGGTTGGGGCAGGACTCTGATCATGTTTTTTCTTAACCCTCAAGTAATAGCTGTTATTGCGAATTGGCACTGCGATATGCAAATGTGTCACTCAGATGTAGACACCTCTCGTAAATCAGTGGGCTCCCGACGAAAGCGCCCAATCTCATGGTTTTTAGTGAAATATCATTCTGAAATGAACGTTTTTTGTTCAATGAAAACGGAAATGTTTACTGTTGCTGAATCGTAGTTGATTCTCCTCGTGTAAACGCCGAGTATCGCAAGCTGCAAGAGACTTCGCGACGGTTTGGCGAGACTCTTGTTGGCCATATGTTCTACCTGAGAAGTTAACCGCGCAAACTATCTTTTGCCAAAAAGAATAAAAGCAGAAGGGAGCGTGGCCTTCCAAAATTTCCGAAATTTCCAACTACAACGTACTTTGTTATTTTAGTTTCATTATTATAGTCATATATATTATCTTTTTCTTGCTTATCTGAAAGTTGTAACGTATACCGTAATATTTCCATTTCGTTTTCATAACATTTCTTGTTTTGTGAATTGATTTAACCTCAATCATTTTTTCCTTCGTTCCTTTCCTTATTTGCAAATGAGCAGCAGCCAGCTCGAAGCTTTACTACTTTTGCTATTGCACGCTGATTTAAAAATTGTACATTTTTGTTTTTTTAATCTCTACCATTTTGTTCTCCATAGTTTCTTGTATTATCTCTTTTTTACTCTATCCGAATAGTGTGAAAAAAGAGATGATGATGATGACAAAAACAACCGTTTCCTTCCATACAAAACCTATTTCGAGGGTTATACTTCGACTTGGCCTAGCGGTGATTACACAAATTGTTATGGTGGGATAAACATTACTTCACCAAACGTTCCTGCGAAGGAAGACTAACACATTTCGTAGGCGTAACCGCGTAAACGCGGCAGAATTAGTTCAGTCGGAGAAGCGCGAATTCGAATCCTGTCAATTGAGTGTGTGGTTGTTTTCTCTTTCTTTCTTTCTTACTTTTGGCATTTTTCAACATCAAACGCGCGCACACATTCACTCAAACAAGCTAGGTGTGAAGAGACGGGGAAGGCCGAAAAGAGACAGATTACAGATTGATGTTTGACTCGGGGCGTTTATTCAGTGTCAAATATGGTCTAGCCTGTGTACCGACGCTCTCCTCCTCTCAGGAAAAATCGGGGAGAGACACGGGAGGGGGGTGTCTGTACACAGGCTGATATGGTCTGATTCGTTCACCGTATTAAAAATCCCTAGAATTGTAGCTAGGCCGACTTCACGTTCAACAATCGTTCTTAGTTGAGTTGAGCAAGCAGTAATAAAGGGACCGGCAAAGCGTTCCGACCTTCAAATTGGGGGCAAAAAAGGCGCGGCAGAGACGCGCCCGTGCTTTTCTTTTTAATTTATTTCTTTGCGCCATTTTCCATACGCTGTATTGTACATTCCGCTTAATTATGCCATTCCACAAAGTCCTTCCGTCCTTTACCCTCACCGTTGTTTACAGTGTTGTTCAATTCACTTTCCATGTTCAGGATCCTCAGTGATCCTTTGTTGACACTGGAACTAAAAGGGCTTTCTCTGATTCACCTACAAAATTATGAAAGCGGTTCTCATCAATCACATCGCCAAAATAAACCCACATTTTCGCTCGCACTTCGTAGCCAACGGCTACTGCTAGTTTATTTGTTTTAAGAGCCTTAAGGTGAGGCAAAGATAAGTGATTATTATATAAACACCAATAAAATACCAGGTGAGCTTTCGCGCGAAAACAGGATATCTTCACACTTGAAAATAACATGTGAAAAGATCACCGTTGCTATAGCAACATAATAAATCGCGCCTTTCGCCGCAAAAAAAAACTATTTAAGTGAAATGGTTTCGCATTCATCGGTGTTTATATAATAAATAGAACATTAGATGGCCGCTTGGAGAAACGAAATTTATCTTCGAGTGTTGCGTGGCCATGTAATATCCTCTATATCTTTACCGATGAGAGCTGACTTTGTTGTGTGTCCAAGGGTACGTCCCCATAGCGTTTTGTTGTTTTTGTTTTCTTTTTCCTTTCATTTTCAGGCCTAAGAGTTTATGGAAAAGATTTCAGACAAATACAGAAAAACAAGGTGAATGTCCATTTTCTAGTCATTGTGATAGTTGGTTATTTTTGATTGAGAATCATTTCACCTTAGATAACTTTCACCTTTTTCACTGAAGTGGAGGTGGCTAGTGGTAAATTATCCACCACTAGCCTCCGACACTGTGATGAATAATTGTTTAAGTATATACTACAACAGTGAGATAATTGAGCACAAAATTGATAATTTTTACCGCTGCCAACGATTACAATTTTTGCGCGCAAATGACCGAACGGCCGTCGCGTTTTCTTGCCGACAAATAAAACTTTTGAAGGCTTTTGTTTATCTCTTGTGGGGAGATTTCTTCAAAAGGGGTTGTGAATTATCTTTCTATTTGAAACCACTCTGTAAAAAAATATGAAATTTAGTTTTAAACTTATTTATGACCGTGTCAGCTAAATAAAGTAACGCAAGCCTTTTCGCTACTTTTGTCGATAAATGCAAGTCAGACAAACAGACAAAGCGTTACCTGTAAAAACTTCCAAACCGAATTTCGTCAACTTCTTCGTGTATTTCGGGAACAGCCTGTTTGATTATTTGTGACATTTATTTGTTTGTTACGGCAGCAAACCGAAAAGCCATTTTAGCTCATTTTGTTCGTAACTTACGGGAGTTTGGCGTCGCTCGCTCGGAGGAGCTGAAGGTGAAACGGTGAATAGCACTGGATATCCCGACTTTGAGTGGCCAATCAGAGCGCACGAAAACACTATCCACTGTTTTAGTATATACTAAAAACACTTGTTACATTAAATAAAAGCATGTGAAATAGAGATTACTAAGAAGTACAGTTAATCGACTTTTTCTTCTATTTTATTTACTACGTTAGTTTTTTAGTTTTTAGTATTGTTAGTTTTTTGTAAAATTGCATTAATTAGAATAAGATTGTGATGGGAAAAAAGATCCTTGCGCCGCGTTTGGATGTAATAATGATCGCCTTTTTTTCTTTTTTTGTAAAAGAAATTTTTCGATGGTCTTTAGCTTGTCATCAAAAAAAATATCTCCCGAAAATGATGATTTTTTTTCTTGGATGGTACCCTGAACGCTACTTTTGTCAGTAATCTCAAGAATTGTTTTATATTAAATCAGGTTATATCAAGGACTGTGGGAGAAATCGTACAATTCTATTATTTATGGAAGAAAACAGAAAGACATGATGCATTTGCTTGCCAGACTCGTTTAACAAAGAAAAAATACGCTTTCCATCCCGGAATCACGTAAGTACATGCCAAACTTACATTTTTAGGTGCTGTTAAACTAGACCTTGTCGCCAAGGCTCCCCTTCGAGAAAGAGCATTGTGCTTCAAGATAGGAATATTTAGACGTTTCAAGATTCTTTCTTTTTAGTTTGGTGTCTTTCTTTAACCTATTAAAAAAGGAATTAGTTCGTTTCCAATTTGCGACCTCGTAAAGTTTAACCGGTTTTTTCATCGAGTACGTAAAAAAATTAAAATAGATTAAATGGTCGATAACATTTTTTTACCGTAATTTGAGTCAGGGTGAAAGTGCAGATGACACGAACTCAAATTGTTTTTTGTTCAAGCGATTCATCTCGAAGCTCAAAAATTGACCTTTATATAGTTAAAAAACTACATTTACTTCATAGCGGAACCCCATTGCAAACAACATTTGGTAATCTACCCATCCGAGACTGTAATTTCGGTTATGACGTCAAATACGACCTAACGCCGACCGTACAGACGCTGAAGGAGAAGTCAGGAGTCAGCCCCTCGGGGGGAGTAGCATAGCCCCGTGGCTAAAAACATTTGGTTCTGTCCATTCGAGAAACGCTGATAGCAAGCTAGTGTGGGCTGGTATTGCTCATTCATATTATCATCAAAGACAGCTATCAAAACAGGGTATCCGCTGACCAGTATCACATGACCTTAACGCGGGCTCCAGTTTCGACCCATTGAGGTTGCGTGTTTTTTTGAGGTCCGCCGCTACTGATCGCAGTCTCAAGATTATTTTTTTACCGCACACAGCACGTGAAATATTTTTGTGCTTATGAGCCAGCGGCCGGACGCGAAAAGTCAGCCTTTTTACAGGTAGGGAAGGCATTTGCTATTAAGGTGTTCATGAAATCGTTGAGTTCGTCTTTGTGTACAGCGGTGAATGTGTCGTCAACGTAGCGTAACCAAAGAGGTATAGTAACCTAGCCTGGCACCAGGTTCCGCAGTGGGAGAAAAAGGCAAAAAACGGGGCGAAATAGGAAAAATATCGGTGAGCGAAGCGAGCCTAGCGGTAGCCTGGGGAGGGGGAAAGGGCAGCGGAGCCTGGAAACATGCCTTTGATGCCGCCGTTCCTTGATACCAGATTCTGGTATCATGCTCTGACTGGTCAAATGTCTTCGTGTTGACGGATTCGCGGTTCCGTTGACAGTATCGCGCTCTTTCAATGTCACGCTCCTACAATTCGGGAAAACATTTTTAAAACACGGATAAATTTGGAGCAAGCAATACAAATGTCTTTGCGAGACTTCAGCTGAGACTTTTCGTTTATCCCTCGGCTCCAAGAAGAGCAAAAAATATGCCTGTGATCTGTTGCAAAAAGAAAAAGAAGTATTCAAAATATCGAGCTTTTCTTATACTCTCCTGTGATAAATTACGATCACATTTACAAAGCGATTGACTTATAAACCGACGTTCAAAAGACACAGCATTATAATCAGGCTCCTACCAAAAACGTGAAAAAACCCAAAGTTCAGTGTATGTATGCAAAGAATGCCTGTTGCGTAAAACTAAGCCTTGTGCTCCGAGAACGCGTAAACCACAACTGTACGGAGATATTCTGTGAGCAGTTCTCTCTTGCATGGCTTTTTGGGTTTGCGAAGTCGTTCGCGTCGCTTGTCTGTTGCTTAGTTAACAAACCAAATACGCAACTGACAAGCGACGCGAGCGACTTTGTATAAAACGCTAAAAGCTTTGCATGCAAGAGAGAAACCTCTGCTCGCAGGCAAGTACAAAGATAACAACGGTTGAGGAAAATCAGGGGAAATGATTATTACTGACCAATAGCAATCTTTCGTCTGTTACATTATAAGAAGCCATGTCAACGAGCATTATGACGCGACCTGCGAACTTGAAGGATTTCCTTGATAATCTATTCGGCTGTTCTTCACCGGTCGCATTCGACGCGATGTCATCTGTAGGTAGTGGTAGTGACACATTCACCACTGTACACAAAGACGAAATGGACAATTTTCACGAACCCCTTAACAGACAGAACGCGGACACACAGTTTACCAAGGAGATTGAGGAAAATGCTGTAAGACCTTTTCATTACTGCTTGGTCACTCGCGACAACAAGACTACGAACGACCATTTACAGAAAACCGACACCTACCGACCGATTACTAGACCAGTCATCGTACAACTCGACCTCTCATAAGGGGTACAACTATACGGACTTTGACGAGACGAGCGCAACCAGTTTGCGATTCGCCTGGCAGCATGCAAGAGACTGACTACCTAAACAACGTTTTTAGTAAAACAACTACAACACGGACCACTCACAGTAACGCTGATTCCAAAACACAGACTAGCGTGAACTCTGGCCATGCTGTTACGACAGGGACTATACCGTACATTAGAGGCACCTCTGAAACTATCGCACTTGTACTGTACAACCTTACAATATACCTGTTGCACACAAACCGATAATCATTTTACGACGACTACTTACTAATGTTAAGGACAAAGACAAACCGGAGGACAGACAGGGAGCAGTATACAAAATCAAATGCTGCGACTGCCAGGCTACTTATTGGTGAAACCGGTAGAAACCTAAGCACACGACTTAACCGAACACAAACGAACGACGAGAAATGGTGACGTCAACAATCACATTACTGCGCACCATTTACAGGCAAAACATCAAATCGTATTACGTATTCTACAGACTACTATCAACGACTCCCTTTAGAAAGCTGGTTTACTAACTTCAAACAAACTCCACTGAATCGTTGTGAACAGTTACCGGCACAGTACAAACGACTTATTGACGGAATCGAGCAAAACTAACTCCAAGAGAACGACTGGACAACTGGTCAATTTGACTAAAAATAAACGACTCGTTAACTATGCAATAGACTCATCGAAACAAACCAATGAAATTACAAGTCTTCATAGCCAATAACACCACGGCTTTACTGACAGACGACCAATAACATTGCAATTTAATTGACCAATCAGATTAATAACCAGAGTTTAATACCATCAACTGACGTGATAAAACTCACTTTCACTCTGAAGATGACTACTCCACAGGTTGTCGAAAGGTCAGTCACTGTCAACAACAACAGTCCTATTCAAGACTACTTTGACCCGGACGATCATATTCAACCTACTTATGAAATGACTCCTGGGTTCAAACCTTTCACAGTTTTAGAACTTTTTTGTTAAATACATTATCACGGCTATTGAAAAAAGGTAAGGTTTGAAATACATTTACGTCGATTTAAATGTTCTTAGAACATAGCCAGTCTTAACGTCTTAATGATGCTGACAGTTTCGATGACTGTCAGCCATCTTTATCAAAACTTGAAAAACATTAAAAGTGTCAGAAGCCTTAAATAGGCTTCTAAAGGTGTTAATTATTGCGATAAACGCGCAAAATCACTCTGTAGACGCCCCATCCCCCCTGGTTTGGGGGTGGAGATCACTTGTGTCCATATGGGAGAAAGCGAAAAGGTATATATCGGTGAAACAGGGAGACAGCTGGGAACCAGGATCACAGAACACAGAAAGGAAGCAGAAAAGATCTCTGACAGAAATTTCACAAGATCCACCCGCAGAGATTCTACCAATGAACACCATAAATCAGCCATAACAGACCACGTCGGTCACAACAATCATATTATGAATTGGGAAGCAAGTGAAATAGTTGAGCAGGAAAGCGACAAGTTTAAGCGATAGATCAAGGAAAGAATATGTATTAGATCGAACACTCCTACTATGAACAGGGACGAGGAAGCCTATCAGCTTTCTCCCAGCTATGTTTCTAAGAACATTTAAGTCGACTTAATAACTTCACTAGCCTGATGAATTTCTTCAAGAATACATTTACGAGTTATTTGAATTCAAGCATACAGAATTTTTTTTACTTCTCACAGAGGTTATTTGGTTAATGCCACACTTTAAGTTCCCTGTGCTGGCTTTTCATATTTCAAAGTTTTTTGCTATTGTTGTCGTAGTGATATCGATGTAACTGAAAACTGCATTTTGACAAACTTTAATTGATAGTCAATCACTGGTGAAAATTTCACAGCGATCGGACAGCGATAAAAAACTTTTAAGGGGATTGAAAAATCCTTGGTGTGGTTTCCGAAAAACTGTATCGAAACACCTTAAGGTGTATAATTGTCTACGAAGTGAGACGCACTGACAGATGTCCTTTTGTCTCGATTTCCGCTCTTATTCATTTGAGGCTGCTGGACCAAATTGCTTTATTGTTCTCTGTAAAATACTTCTGCCGTGGAAAGTAATCGCCAAAAGCATTTCTCGATCTCCAAAACGGCCAGTCCAGACAACGCCGACCAAGTTTCTCGTTTGATGACGACATTGCGTTGCGCAAAAATTCTTTTCAACGTTGCACCGTGAGTTGAAAAGCCTTTTCATTACGGTTCGTGGCATTGTTCTCACGACGGTGAGAATCTTTTCTTTTGTAGATTTCTACAGTAAGGGTACATAATTATGTTTGTTGACATGTTATGAATATTTGTAGAAATATCGATGTTTTATCTTTTTTTTTTTTTTTGTTATCTCGTCTTTATTGACAACCGCTAGTTTGTTACCGAACTTAATATTACTAAACTTAGTTTAGCTCTAACCTCGGATATCAATACGCCGCTTTCGATTGAGAAGCACGTTCCCGGGTTTTTTTATTCCGGGTTTCCGTACCGGGCAGTGTATCATTGCTATGCAGTTTTTTCTAGGTTTTTCTCTTAGCCTTAATTCTTTGTCTTGTCTTTTCATTGTTTTTTCTTTGGGACTATTTCATATTTCATCCTTCATGTTGGCTTCATGTCTGCGTGTCCAGGTAGATCTTAGAGTTTATATGAATTCATAATTTTGACGTTTTTTAAAGATTATTTGTTAATTATTGTTGAATATTATTGAATAGTAATTGTTATGTACTTTTTGTGCATTGTTATCCCGACTATGTTGTCACTACGTATAGATATTTCGTTAATAAAGCGCTGGTCCTTACTATCCATTAGACATCCAGCACGAGTCACACTCCATTCTGTTGTCGCGTTATGTATTCGGCGTTTAGTGCGCTGTGCGGAGGGTAGTAATGAAATACCACCCGAGTTTGCAAGCCGCTATGCTCCACGCCCGAACTGTGCACTGGGCGCGCGGCAAAATTATAAACCTCGCTTCGCGAAGTAAAAACTCTGTTGGTATATAAGGACAGTTTAATAGTCCCTAGTCGTTGCATGTCATAACATTTTATTAATTTTTTTGTCAGTGAAAAGAAATTGTACGCATAGGGGCAGATAAGTGTTTAAACCCTAATATCATCAATCAAATTCTCCAGACTACATAAGCGGGGCGGATCGAGAAAATTCAGAAAGGGGCGGCCGGAACCCTTAGCTATGAAGAATACTATTTATTTTACTGGGAAGTCTTAAAAAATAATAGAAAATATCACTGGTAGGTTTTAAACAATTAAGGACTTTTATCACTTGTTCTTTTTAATGCTCCAAAGGCATAGGACTCTTGAAGCATATTAGCCCGTTTCTTAATCAACGTCAAAGGGAAACCTATTACAATGGCGTTATAAAGCCCACCCTCTATGGGATCATGATATAGGACAGCTGCAATGCCGAACATCTTCAAAGTATTTTAAAACTTCGAAAAAGAGCGGCACGCATTATACTCGATGCTGAAAGACTTACACCATCAGTCATATTATTCAATAATTTAAACTGGCTCCCTTTTACTAAACATTCTCTAATAAAGAGATGCGCACTAGTGTATAAGTGGGTCCACAATTATATTACGCCTAGTTATTTGAATAGTCTATTAGTCAGAAATTCAGAAATTCATAATCGAGCCACTAGACATTCAAACATAAATTTGGTGTGCCCCAAGTATAAACGAAAAACAGAAGGAGGTCGTACTTTCACTATTAGGACTAATATACAGATTTAGCCAGGGCTAAAAGCGAAGCTCCTATTAACTCGAATTTTTTAATTTAAACAATAAACAATAAACTTGCAATTGTATTCAATCAGTTAACTTTAGAGCACATTCATCTGACTTTTGAGGGAAAGGCTAAGTCATTTTAGAGAAAAATAATTTGCAAACAGTCCAAGCTAAGAGTGAACTTAATCTTAGATCGAGTTGATAGCCTTTATATATGTACACCCAAAGAATAGCAATCATCTTCGATCACATTTAAGAGCCATAATGGCTCTTGATCACAATAGAGTAGGCCTGGAAAACAAATTCTTGGAAAACAAATCAGGCCGAATTTTTTGCGTTCGACAAGTTTATAATTTACTTTACAAAATCTTGCCAACAAATCTGGGGACGTGTAAACCAACCTTTTATACTTTTTATACATCACATCTGAGGTGAAACAGTACCATGAGGCGCTGTTTTTATCATACAGACCTCGGACAGAATGCAGTATTTCACAATTTTGCAATACAAATTGCACTCACTCCCCGGACTCACTCAAGATTCAGGACGATCGAAGCACGCGTGTGCTTTTAGTAAAAAAATTTCCAGAATCACCTACATATACGGCTAGCCGGTTCTCACTTTTCACAAGCGCCAAAGTCGAGTGTTTAAATCAAGATTAATAGAGTTATACGCTCCAACGTGATAAAGAATTCATTTTTTATGTTTATTTTTTGTTTAATGGTTTTATAACGATGTGTAATCTTAGCTCTTCTTCGTTTGATACGCGCGGCATTTTGAGTACTCCTGCAAGCGATGTTCATGAGGGACTGAAAACAAACGACACAGCGATTAAAATTACAAAAGAGACCACTAACAATCAATAAAAGGAAAATAATGCGGTGAAACATATACAGAGACAAGAATTTTCATTTACGAAGACAAGTATTAAAGAAAATCCTTGTTTATGTTTTAAGCCGGCTTCCCGGTGTTTGCTTTTTTCAAAGATGAACTTGAGGCAGAAAATTGCTCAAAGCTTCCTTTTACAGCCAGAATTATAGCTAAATATTCTTTGAAACGTTTTCTTTCTGTTTGCGGTGATAAAATGTCTCAAGGCTTTTTAAAGTTCTATAAGCTTATAATCAAACCTGATACTCGGTCAGATCATTGTCTCAAATCTTACAAACGTGCATAAACTAAATAGCCGCATAAACTGCGCCCGACTTCATTAAATTAGATATAAAAAACAAACACCAAATACAATAATTACTCAGGCTTACCATTCGAGATGCACTGAAAACTATCAAGTAAGGCCAGAATCGCTGCAGACTTTTCAACCCTCTTTTTAATACGCATCAAGCAAGGTGAAAAACGAAAACGATGCCATCCGAAATCAGATTTCTGACTTTGTCAAGCGACGTATTTCTCAACCAAAACCCCAATAAACAGAAGACTCTTGAAGCTTCTTGATAGCGGCAGAATTTCATTTTGTACATCCAGTGGAAAAAGACAGTTAAAAACATCACAAACTGACACAAAACTGTCAGCTTCAGCTCTCAAAGTAAACAAGTTTCAAGATGCTGCATAAATTTTCCACATGAACTAAGCGGTCAAATTTTGACCAATCAGAGCATAAAAATTGGACGTAGAGCGTGACCAGCGCGTGACCTTGGTGAGAAAAGTCAAAAGCAACTGGCATGTCTTCCCTGCCTGTAAAAACTGGCTGAATTCTAGCTTCCGAGGTCTGTTTGAAATCAAAATTTTAATTGTGCGGCACATATAAAACACAACATATTTCATATGAATTAAGAAAAATAAACTTGAGCCTGCGATCATTTGAAAACTAGTGACTTGTCAGCGGATAACTTCAAAAAGATACTCGACCTCGATGGGTCGACACCTGAGCCCGCGATATGGTCAGGTGATACTGATCAGCGGATACCCTGTTTTGACAGCTGTCAATTGATCACAACATTGATGTACAATGTGTGTGCAATATCAGTCTTCCTGTGCTCAAACTAGCTAGAAAGAGATTGAACATTGGTTTCCCTGTGGTGCGGACGGACGGGCGGTGTCCGGTCACGTGATTACCAAATTTTCTGGGATGGGTAGATTTACCTAACCATGGTGCTCCGCAGGCGCGCTTCGCGCGCCAGAGCTTCCCTATAAAGGACTGGAATTGCATGAATGCCAATATAAGAAATAATGGCTCGCTAGCAAGTTTTAAGCATAACGTTTTTAAATCCTTTCTAGCTGAACAAAAGGCTGCGATGCTCTCCTTAGACTATAATTGTATATACGTTTTATGTTGTTTTTATCTATCTTAGTCATAATGTCTTTTTAGCAATTATTTATTATATTTTATCCTAAATTATCTTTGAAAATAGTATATTTTATAGTTTTTAGTTGTAGAGTCTATATTTGTAATTGTTTTGAGGGCCACAGAGTCATCAGTGTCTTAGGACTACTGTTAAGTGTTTTACCCTCTTTAAATACAGCCTATTATTATTTTATTATTGTTAATGCTGGGCTAGCACAGATGAGCTCTTCCCGCCGGTGGGGACGTCAACATTCTTTGTCAAATAAATAGGAAGATAAATGAATAAATAAATAAATGTATTTTTATGTAAATGTATGTATTGGAAGGATTGTAATTTGATTATACTTTGTTGTTTTAGAAACTTAAGAGAGGGTTACCGTCGTGCTAAGGTTACCCTAGCAAGCGGGTTAAAACTAGCTCTGGTTTACAAGCAAATTTCACAGTTAGGGTTACCCTAGCACTAGGGTTACCCTCCCTCCTTGTAAACAGGGCCTCGGCTGTGTTTGGCCTCGTGCACACGAATCCAATTATTTTTGAAAACTGAGATTTTTTCCTCCGTTTTGAAAAAAAAAGGTGTTCACACGTAGCGTATTCGAATCGTTTTCACCTGACCACACGAAAACGCTGAGACGGTGGAGATACGATTGCGTATCGTACAGGGCATGCGCTGTGTGACGAATGACATCATCATATTCGAAAACCTTTATTTTTGAAAAGATGCGTTTTCAGTGACTGTTTATACCGGATACGTGTGATCAGTAGACCAAACCGGAAAAAAATAAATCTCCGTTTCTTGGAGATAAATTGATGCAATGGTTGCCTTAGTCGTATCTGTTTTTATCTTTTTATTTATATATTTTTATATTGATTTTACCTCATTTTTGCGTTTTTATTAGGGATTACATGGACAGGTTTCTGGATGAAAACGAAAGTGCAGCATCTAGTCGTGCTTCCAGTCCACACAACTTCTCATCAAAAGCACGACCAGGAAATGGAGCAAGTCCTGTTTCTACTCAGAGCCAAAGCCATCAGCCAGTAGCAACACAGCCTTATGCTGTACATACAGTGGCAGCACCTACCTCAGCACAAAGCACTGGTCTCACTATAAATGTTTCAAATTCCAACTCTGTGTCTGTTACCCTGACAAGAGGAGATGCCAGTGATAAATCTCCTAACAGACTCATGCAGCAGCAGCAATCGTGTGTACCAACATCCGTTATAGTGTCAGGTCCAGACTCCGGTAGTGAACCTCCTTCTAAAAAGCTAAAAATGCTTCCTAGTGGAAAACCAAAGTTAATCAGCAGCATGCTAAGTAAACCTCCACCTTTAAAACCTATTGCAACTTCAGAATCATCAACTTTTCATACAAGTAGCTTGGGCAGTACATCATTGGTGTCAAGCGGGGTGTCCGGCTTTAATATATCTAATTCACATGAATATTCTTACTTAGCTGCAGTGCGAAAAACGCCTGGTCCAGACTCTATTCTCTTTACACAGCACAAGTGATTAATATTTATTTGAATACCATAAACAAAATTTAACCACAAAGTAATCAGCAAATGCATGAACATAAACAAGGAACACACCTGAAGACACATTAATTTACTCTAAAACTGGTTAGTTTGAATCACCGGCAGATGAGTTATGTTGTTGTATGAATTTTAAAGTTCTTTCACAATGTGCAAGTATTGTTTTTAGGTTATGCATATTGTAATAAATTTTAGGTGCATACTCAGTACATAGATCCACTCGTCTTGTCCGGTCAGGGTACTCAAATTTCTTTTATATCTCCTTCTAGAATGTCCATTCCATAGACCTCTACATAGTAGTAATCTATTAATAAGTTTACCCCTAGGTATGTTATTTTGATTAGCTGTCATCAACTCAGTTGAGAGGCTCTCCCGTTAATGCTGACTTTTATATAAATCGCTATGACCCATGCTATTCTAGGATGCCTGGCAATAAAGGTAAGCAATCGCAATGTAATAGGGGCTGATTACCTAATCTAGGCTGGCCCGGTTTGACGGGTTGCTGAGGTGACTTTTACCCCGATATTACATGGGGTGGGACAGCCCAGAGCTGCTATGTTTACGTACACATATAAAGTTTTGTGTTGCCCACTACCCCTTTGCTTGTAGGTTTGCCGGGATGGCCTGGCTAGTATGATTACATGGACAATTTTCATCCCAGTTAGCTGGGATGGTATCACAATACCGTGATGGCTCGGTTGTCGTCCAGTCACAAAGATGACTTTTGCTTCGTGTAATCAGGCCCGTACGTTACTACCCCGCGAGCCTAAACAAGTTTCTACATAACTGGTAACCAGAAGCACATCCTGACCTAACCTGTTTCAATCCAGTTCTTGTCTATAGAGATTAAGGGCCCGCTTAGATGGAGGCGGGGACCCCAGCTAGGTTAGGTAACCCGCCTGTCTGTAGTTGGTTGTTGACCTTTTTGCTCTCACGAACGTTCGTGATAATATTGCTCAAGTTCTCCCTCTTTACAACAAAATAGACAAGATGGGTGGCAAGAGATGAGATCTCAGCCGCCATTACACCCTTTCCAACACCAACACCAAAGTTGTACTCTTTATGCACCTGAAGCGTGGTAAAAGGTTACTAACCACGGTGATCTGTCCATCGTTGCATGGGAATACTTTGGCGTGACTGCAGTGCTGTTATTAGGGACCTTGTGAAACTACGAAGGCTTCGACGGAAGGTTAATAAAGGAACAAAAACAACAGTAACAAGCACAAAAAATAGATTTAGTCGGGTTTACGCATTTCTGTAAGTTTCTTTGCTGTTCTCCATCAACTGCAACGTGAAATGACCAAAGTGTTAGTTCTTCGAGAGAACCATCCTCGGAGACCCAGGGGCAGTCAGTCGGGCGGGGTTAAAAGGCGCGACGAAAGTTTTTAAGCATGGGCGGAAGAGCCCCTGGGTACTGACTCTCACCGGACCATTTCCAAACGGTCAAGCGAATGCTGGCTCATGATTGGGCACAAAAAATGCTTTGTATTATTGTGCCCAATCACGAGTAGCATCTCCTGAGTTCTTTTCGTGAGTTCGTACACGACGGCTATTGACTCGATCACGGCTTGTCTGGCTCATGCACCAAAGAAATGCACGCAGTCAGGAATCTTTCAGTTTGATATAAACGCTACATTTCAAAATACTGGTAGTCTTTACACTAGAGCCTAAATAAGCTAAGAAACATTTCAAGACAAGTAAATTCTAAATTCTTCAAGTAAAAGAAAGCTTCACACACAGCCGGTCTTTTTTACTTCAGGTTTTCCCACGCAACGTAATTAAGATTGATTGACATGCTTCGCCTTTCTGAAGGCTTGGAAACCGCAAGTTCGCTAAGTCGGTTTTAAGGATGGTTTTCAAGTCACTTGAAACTTTCTTGAATCGTCTCAACTTTCCGACTTTAAGGAGATGCAAAGTAAAGTTACTTGAGATTTTGCTTAGGCCTTCACAAACGCATTTTTTGGTTAAGTAAAACGTAGCAGCTATTAAGTCTTACTTAACAGCCTAGTGTAAAGACAACCACTGTCTACACGAAAACTAAGCTTACAACCGGTATTCACGCTTGAATCGATCACGCCTTCGTAAATATTAAGGAGTTAAATATGCCACGACAGGACAACCACTAAAACGTCGCATGAAGAGTGAACTCAGATTTTTTCAGTCTCTATCGTGATCATTCCAACTCACTTACTTTGTCAAATGCAAGCGAACTCTTCTGGAGCTGAATTTCTATCAACCATATCCAAGTTCATAAAGAGAAAGAAAATTTAACTTGTCATTGTTTGTTTACGTCCTTCACAGAACGGGAAATTAGGCATTTTCACGTGGTAGGCGTGCACTGACAAAAAAATACACAAAAAAGCGTGATGCACGTGCAAAGTTGTTGTTGTGCCTTGTCAAGCTATTTCTTTAATACTTTCTCGTCGCCGCTTCATCTTAAACTTCCTATTATTTACGATACATTGTGATCCGTCAGAAACAGAATTTTCTCAGTGCAAATTGAATTGCTCCTGCTGATAGCATCCGAAACGTTTTTCGACTCATCGGTAGTTCCTTAGTTTCTGACTGTGGCGAGATAATAGCCGTCGTGTACGAACTCACGAAAAGAACTCAGGAGAAACTGTTCGCCGATTGGGCACAATAATACAAAGCATTTTTTGTGCCCAATCAGGAGCCAGCATTCTCTTGACCGTTTGGAAATGGTCCGGTGAGAGTCGGTACCCAGAGGCTTTTCTGCCTGTGCTTGAAAACTTTTGTCGCGCCTTTTAAGGTGACTCGACCCAGTTTTTTTTTTTTTTTTTTTTTTTTTTTTTGGGGGGGTACCATCCTACTTTGAAGCTCTCTGGTATTCCCACCTTTACTTTTATCGTAAGTCTAACACATAGAATGGATAACATATAGATCAATCTACAATATAACATAAACTTTTTGGCGATCGGAGTAAATGTCACGTGGTTATAATGCCACGCCCGCTTGAGGTCTAAGTCGAAAATCTGCTGTTGCCGGCATTCTTTCGTGAAAATCTCTCGGCTACACATAGTGCGCATTAGTGCCTTGCGCTAAACAGAGTTTCACCAAAATCGCAAAGACCCAAATCAGCGAGCTCAGCGAGATATGATAATTTAGTATGAGAAAATAGAAGGGATTCCCGTCATGAGTTGGTTTAATTATTGGCTTGCATTAAACCTATAAAAAAAATGATATTTTTTTAATAGTAAGTAGGTTTAGTGTGTAGCACTTCTTGATTTTTTTGCAAAGGCACAAGAAGCACGAGAATTGATTAAAAATTGTGAGTTAAACCTCTACGTATCACGCGATGGCCTGTCTCACTGTACCAAAATTATCATATCTCGGTGAGCATTCGGAAGTCAGCCAAGCGCGGTCATTGCACGCGTGCTGGACAAGAATGCTGTATCATGACAGACTAGAAACAATAGACAACTCCCAAAGCACAAACTCAGCCAAAACGCTAAAAGTCTTCAATGTTTACTTACCAGAGAGATTTTCATGAAAAAATGCAGGCAACAGCAGATTTTGGACTCAGACCTCAAGGGGGCGTGGCATTATAACCACGTGACATTTACTCCGATCGCCAAGAATTTTATGTTATATTGTAGATGGATCTATGTTATCCATTCTATGTGTTAGACTTACGATAAAAGTAAAGGTGGGGATACCAGAGAGCTGCAAAGGAGGATGGTACCCCCTCCAAAAAAAACTGGTCGAGTTACCTTAACCCGGCCCGACTGACCGCGCCTGGGTATCCGAGGATGCTAGAGAACAAAAACAGCAAGAGGCGAGCTCCCAAGAGGTCTCGTCTTTTCAGATGCACCTCAGTTGCGTAACGGTTAAGTTGATGAACAGCATTCAAGTTCGAAAGGATGTCAAGTCAGTTACTCAGCGGCGTTTTCAATAAGTGTCACAAATGGCCATTCCTTGTATGCTTTCTTCCATTTTTTTTATTTATGGTATTTAGCATATTTATTAGAGTTATGGTGCCTTGATTCTATGCTTTCAGGAATTATGTTGCCTCGATTTCATGATTCTAGTTTTATATACGACGTTTGGCATTCCGCATTTTGGAATTATGTTGCCTCGATTCCATGTTCCTTGTTTCGTTTACGGTATTTGAATTCTGCATTCCCCATTCTGGAATTATGTTGCCTCAATTCTATGTTCCTTTTTCTTTTTACGGTATGTGCATTCTGAATTATGGAATTATGCTGCCTCGATTTCGTGATTCTAGTTTTATTTACGACATTTGCATTCTGCATTTTGGAATTATGTTGCCTCGATTCCATGTTCCTTCTTTCATTTACGGTATTTGAAATTCTGCATTCCCCATTCTGGAATAATATTGTCTCGATTCTATGTTCCTTTTTTTCACGGTATGTGCATTCTGGAATTATGTCGCCTCGATTCCATAATCACTGCTGATTTACGCACCGTATTTGGAATTCAACGTATTTACTACACGGTATTTATGTTGCCTCGATTCCATAGAGTTAGAACGAGCCGGCCTGGAAATAGCTTGTGAGTAAGGCTAAAGCGTGAGAAACTGGAACCGATAAGAAGAATTATTTCAAAAAAGGCACCTTCAAAATGAGTTTAGCGGGCTTAGTGGACGAGGCGTTTATACGAGAGCTTGTTGAACGAGGGTTTTCCTACAAATCTATTAGTGAAAGACTCCGAGTTCTCTTTCCTGGTAAGAGTTATGTCTCTTTGCGTTACCTTTCTATCTAACTTTCTGGCTTGATGTTTCCTCCGACAGAGTCACGCGGGCTTAGCACTAGTTACTGGTGGGCTAAGAACTCGGCTGCGGCCACTAATTGATGGGCGAGGAATTGGATGCGAGGTTGCTCTTATGATTATAAAAATAAGAAAGTGAAATGCAAAATAAGTTTAAGTTAAGTTAAAATTTTCTAGCGTAAGCGATCAAATCGCGCTTTTAAAATATTTCCTTCTTTATAAAGTACCGAAATAAAACATTCAAGAAAAAAATAAATGGCAAACACAAAAGAACGTGCGTACGTACCGAGCACCAAACGTTCCCTGAAAATTTATAATTGAACGACACTTACCTGGAAGTGGAAGTTCCATGATAATTCTACCTATCTGTTGAGTAACCATGAGATTACATGAGATATGCGCTGCGCATGTACCGATCACCTTCCAACGCCTGATGTGCCAACTACCTAAAACCTAACACCTCAATACAGGTAAAACTCCAATAAGTGTCACACATGGCCATTCCTTGTATGCTTTTATTCCATTTGTTTTTTATTCACGGTATTTAGCATTCTAGAGTTACGGTGCCTTGATTCTGTGCTGGTTGTTCATTTACCGTCATTGCATTGTGCATTTTCTATATTTACGACATTTGGCATTCCGCATTTGGAATTATGTTGCCTCGATTCCATGTTCCTTGTTTCATTTACGGTATTTGAATTCTCCATCCCTATTCTGGAGTTATGTTGCCTCGATTCTATGTTCCTTTTTCTTTTTACGGTATGTGCATTCTGAATCATGGAATTATGCTGCCTCGATTTCATGATTCTAGTTTTATTTACGACATTTGCATTCTGCATTTTGGAATTATGTTGCCTCGATTCCATGTTCCTTCTTTCAATTACGGTATTTAAATTCTACATTTCCCATTCTGGAATTATGTTGCCTCGATTCTATGTTCCTTTTTTTACGGTATGTGCATTCTGGAATTATGTTGCCTCGATTCCATGATCATTGATTATTTACGCACCGTATTTGGAATTCAACGTATTTACTATACGGTATTTATGTTGCCTCGATTCCATAGAGTTAGAACGAGCCGGCCTGGAAATAGCTTGTGAGTAAGGCTAAAGCGTGAGAAACTGGAACCGATAAGAAGAATTATTTCAAAAAAGGCACCTTCAAAATGAGTTTAGCGGGCTTAGTGGACGAGGCGTTTATACGAGAGCTTGTTGAACGAGGGTTTTCCTACAAATCTATTAGTGAAAGACTCCGAGTTCTCTTTCCTGGTAAGAGTTATGTCTCTTTGCGTTACCTTTCTATCTAACTTTCTGGCTTGATGTTTCCTCCGACAGAGTCACGCGGGCTTAGCACTAGTTACTGGTGGGCTAAGAACTCGGCTGCGGCCACTAATTGATGGGCGAGGAATTGGATGCGAGGTTGCTCTTATGATTATAAAAATAAGAAAGTGAAATGCAAAATAAGTTTAAGTTAAGTTAAAATTTTCTAGCGTAAGCGATCAAATCGCGCTTTTAAAATATTTCCTTCTTTATAAAGTACCGAAATAAAACATTCAAGAAAAAAATAAATGGCAAACACAAAAGAACGTGCGTACGTACCGAGCACCAAACGTTCCCTGAAAATTTATAATTGAACGACACTTACCTGGAAGTGGAAGTTCCATGATAATTCTACCTATCTGTTGAGTAACCATGAGATTACATGAGATATGCGCTGCGCATGTACCGATCACCTTCCAACGCCTGATGTGCCAACTACCTAAAACCTAACACCTCAATACAGGTAAAACTCCAATAAGTGTCACACATGGC